TGTTCTAAATAATAAAATCTGACGATTTTTTTATAAATATTCTACTATATTCACACAAAAAAGTAGAAATTATAACAAACAATAAAAAATGCATAGAGATGGATAATAAATGCATAAATATAGAGATAATAGGAAAAGAAAAACAAACGAAATGCCCAGAAGAAGTTGTGAAAAACTAAAATTCTAAACAAAATTGAACTTAAGTGAAAAAGCTGAAATTAATAACCAAAATTTTAGGAAAATGTTTAATCAAATTTTCCAAATGAGTGTATGTTTAGTCTAAAAAATGAAAAAATAAGGCGCCTATATCAAAACGCCCTTTTACTTTACCCTTTATTTTATCATTTTCGTTAAAATTCAAAATTTTCATACCTTTTTATTTATTTTTGGAATGTGAAAGCGTAAATCAGTTTTTAATTCAATTTTGGGGAACAGATTTACAGATACGAATAAAGGCAGCTTTTTTATTATTAACTATCATATCGGCACACACAAAGTATGAGAACATTTTTTATTTTTGTTTTTTTGAAATAGAAGGAGAGGGGAAAATAGTGAAATAGATTGTGGGAGTTGGAAGTTTGTTTTTTTTTTAATTAGAGATATATTATGATTACATGTAGTGAGGCTTTGAAAAACTGTAGCAAATTTTGGTTGTGTAAAATTTTGGTTCCCATTTCTTAAGGAAAACTAATGAAAAGGGCTTGAAAACTTTGAGTTTTAATGATAAGGACAAAATAAAGGGTAAAGTGAATAGTACCATGATTGACTTTTTAGTGTAAAAATGTGGTTTTTCGTTAAAGTGAACAGTACCGGGAGCTTTTCGTTAAAGTTCCCTATTATATTTTAATTAGATAGTTAAATTAGTAATTTTATAAGGTTTTGGTTGACAACGAGTGTTTTATTAATTAGTACATATGAGAAATTATTTACTTTGCCGATAATATAATACATTAATCAGCATAATTAGTTGATTTTTCTTTTTTAAGTTTTTAACTAATTGTATTCTTAGACTTAGTGTGCCGGACCGTGTTCCGACACACTAAAAAATGTCTCATCGTTTACAACTCTAGTTTATCACCTTGATTTTTGTTGGAGCAGTTATGTTTTTATTTAAATATTTTAAATATTTATATTTTAGTTTATTATAAACATTAAATATAAAACATAATTTGTTATCATCCTTTGATTGCAGACAGTTTTTGCATCCCATAAATCCCCATAAATATCCTTTTAATTTCCTACGGTTTTGCATCCTTATAATAATTAGCAACCCCAACGTCTATTTTCTTTTATATATATATATATATATATTTGGTATGTATGTTATGCGATTAGCAGAAAGTAGATGAAGAAATTTTTTTTTACATATATTGATTTAAAAAGCAACATATTGAGAGTGTGTGAGTTCGAAGGTTCTTCTGGTGTGCAAGGAAGAATCTTATCAGAAGAATGTTCTGAGCTGTTTTATCCTGGGGACGACGTCGTGTTTGTGAACTGCTTGCACACTTTGGGCAGAGCCGCGAAACGTCTTAAAGAGAGCGACTTAGTCCGCGACTCATCCCAAGAATCATTCACCACTCAAGGCTTCTACATTTTTCGGGTAACTTCGTTCCTTTCTACTTTCAATTTTCAACAATTTTCAATCAGTATCTCTCATTAGGAACTAATGACAATCTCCTTTATAGTCATTAGGGACTGATCAGTATAAGTAGGTAGTGACCCTTTTGGCTGCAGAGGTCATTTGGAATCATCACTTCAGAGCTTCAATTCGACATCTCTAGTTTTTGATTGAGTAGTCACCTCAGTCAATTATAAGCCGATCAACACAAACGGAAATTGAGTAAAAAAAGTTTTATCCGTATCGGTTTTGAGCATGTGTAATAGGTGTCCTAGCACAAGATTCTAATTCTAAAAGGCCCCGAAAAGGGGATGTCATTTGTATGTGGATGATAGATTGTCTGCCCTCCTGTTTAGGTGTTATTTTCATCTTTTTCTATTTTGTGCGATCACGGTTAAGTCATATCAATATTTTATATTATTTTTTTATAGAGATAATAAGATAAAAAGTAATAAGAATATAAAATATTGACATGGCTTAACCGTGATCGCACAAAATAGGAGAAAATGGAAATGACATCCAAACAGAAGGGCAGACAATCTGCCTCCTTGTATGTGTACCAAGTTGATTTGTGGCAAAAAATAACTTCATTTTTGAAAATCTTATAAGTTTTGCGTGAGAGTAAGAGAAATATGACATCTATATTGCATTAAGAGGAATCACTTTTATGTGTTTAGTTTGCTCATATCGATTTATCTCTAAATTGTGTTTCTATTTATGTTATTCATTATTTTTGTTGATTTGAAGGATAACTCACAAGCAATGATACCCCATATAGATGTCTTCGTAATACAACTATAAACATATAATTAGCTTTGTAGCATGAATTTTTATACAATTATTCATTCGCTATCTTCCGTACAGGGATTCTAAAATCTCAAAATTTGTCCTGCTTCGCACTTTATATCTTTACTGCACAGAAGATTTATGCATGTATATAATATCTATAGGGGTGTGCTATCCACACACATCTTTTACTTCTCATACACCTTATTAATTTTTTGCCGTGACATCGAATGAATTGAAGAAGAGTAAATGATAGAAATTAATAAGGAACTTTCATAAAAAGGGCTTGGGTCAAGTATTTTAATAAAAAAATTATGCTATAATTTTATTTAATGAAAAAGACTTAAATTTTAATATAAAAAAACTCCTAAACTTTAATAAAAAGACAAAAGAACTTAAATTTTAATGAAAAATACATAATTTTAATATTTAAAAAATTGACGTGCAAGGCGCACGCGTCTTCACACATATTGTTTATGAAACTTACTATGTTATTTATGAAGTTTAACGATACTACACTATTTATGAAATTTACTACGTTGTTTATGAAACTTATTACGTTGTTTATGAAATTTAACGGTACTACACTATTTAAAAAATTTACTACACTGTTTATGAAACTTACTATGTTGTTTATGAAACTTAATGGTATAATACTATTTATGAAACTTACCGGTGATATAATGTTTATAAAACTTACTACATTGTTTATAAAACTTAATGATACTACACTGTTTATGAAACTTAACAATAATATATTGTTTATGAACCTTATTACATTGTTTATGAAATTTAACGGTACAACACTGTTTATGAACCTTAACGATACTACACTGTTTATATACGTATGTTATTTCTTTTGCTTTAAGAAGATACAAGTGAAATATGCGTATATTATTTCATTAATTTTCCTTTTTATCAAAGACATCACAATTTTAAGGTAATGGGGGGAGATCCCCTTCTCAAGCTCATAACTGTAGATAGGTTCAAAGCTGATAAAATCATAAATAGGTTCGCACTGCATCCCAGGTGCCTTGTCTAGTCGAAGCCAGAAAGAAGCATCAATTTGTAAGTTTCCATTTGTAAGTTGTACTAGTCTTCAATCTTCAGGCTTCATCTAAACCAAATTATAATTGGTACTTTACTATGCCGCTGACAGACCTCCAAATCTAAATTCTTTGTTTGCTAAGTTTGTGAATGGAAGTGGCATGTTTTGCAATGAAAGATTAAAGTTAATTCCAAGCATTATTAAAGAATATTGGATGGTCAAGCCCGCGTGATTTTGGAACAAAAACTTGCCCACCATGAAAGGTTGCATCCTGTAATATTTGAGGCAAGCCAATTTCCTAGAGATTGATGTAGATATAGGACCATCATTTGTGGCAAGGCGTATCATCTTTGATTTTTATCAAAGAATTGAGAAACCATTACTGCAATGACGAGGAAGAAAGGTGGGGGTGTATGGTGGGAGGCGCTGGGCCAATGTCTTTTTTTATTTTCTTTCTTATTTTCTAGTATTTATTATTAAATAAAATTATTAGGTGTTTTTTTTATTTATTCATGTAGTACTGTCTCACTACGTCCTGTTGTTGGGCTGTTTCCTTCAATGATTCAGTGGCTAAAATAAAAGGGAAACCCGCCACAGCATAGAACAGCAGATTTATCTCTTTTCTATCTGAATGCATGCATGCCTTCGGTTTCAGTTTTTCGTATAAAGTAAGCTATGCACACAACTCCTTAATTGACAAATAATGAGTGGTTTTGGTTCCTCACTTTTCTTTTAGTGGGTGCTATAAAAACAAAAGAAAAGAAAACAAAGAAACTCCATGTGTTTCTTACTTTGGTACGTACTAAAGTACCATTCGATTGAGCTGGAAAGACACTAATCAAGGTTTCATAAAAAATTAAAAAAAAATGTGATGCGAGAGAGATTATTTTTTTAGATTATCTTTTTAGACTATATTTTATAGGCCACATGATGTTGCTGTTAACTACATTGCAAAAATGAATAATTGGTACAGAGGAAGAGAAAGAATTGGTAGAGAGAAACAAGAGAGATTGTATTGATTGACTAGAGAAAATGCATACAACTGAACTTAAGGAAATGATAGCTATACAATTCCTTATATATATAGCCATATATCCCATTTACAATAATACCATTCTAAATATATTTCTGTTATATCAATTATTACTTCCCCCTCAAACTAAACTTGGAGTATCTAAGTGAAGTTTGAACTAGCTAGGTATTTGAGACTGATCTAGAACTACGAAACTAAGATGTCTGCAATGCTTCAAGAACATTGGACTGTGCAATCCTTGTGGAAATACATCTGCAATTATTGTTACGAATCAACTGAAAACTTTCTTGGATGCATCTCGAGTCATCTATCTCTCATGCAAAGTCAGAGTGAGTGCCCTGAGGAATGTAGGGAAGCTGTTCCATCTTTCATGTACGCTGCAACACGATTTTTTTTACTTGCTAGAATTGTGTGACCTCCGAACTCTGTTTACTGAAAAATATGGAAATTCTCTCCAACATTTTCTGAATAAAGAGTTTGTGGAGAGGTTGAAATCAAAGCCTCCAACGAAGGAGATGAAGATTCAGTTAATGCAAGACATAGCATGGGAATTCTCAATTGAATGGGATTCAAAGGCCTTGGAACAGAAACTGTATACTTCGCCTACACCTGACCAAGGTCAGCATAGGTATAGGTCTCCAGTTGACAGCGATAACAATATGCACAAATCACATAAAGGGCAGGATAAGAGCAAGTTCATTGGGGGTGGGATAGGCCAGCACCCAGTGGAAAAAACAGGCTGAGACTCAGCCAATCCACTCCAGCCCGTGGAATCGACTGGCACCCAGCCCAAGCCAGTCCACAGGCCGGCCTAAAATCGACAGACCTTGGGATCGGCTCAAGTGACGCCTAGCTGACGCCAACGTGGTGTCGGAGGGCAAAGAGCCACGGAGGGAAGGAGCCACGGAGCAGGGATAAACATATATGTTTTGGAAGTGGCAAGGCGAAGACCAACTTCCCCACCCCCACTGAGCTCCATCTCGACGCCGTCAACAACGCCTCCAAATTAGCTGTGACGACGAACATCAGCAACAGCCACAGCAGCACCATGGAGTCTTCCTCCCCACCGTCCCCGCGCCCGCTCGACCTCACTCTCAAAACCCCCCTTTTGTCCACCGGCGGCGGCTACTTCACCGCCGCGAAAAGCTTCCGCCCACTTCCCGCTTTTCGTCCCGTGATCTTCTTCGACGCCTTCACACCGGCCGACAGTGCCGCTGCCCTCCAGCACGCCTACGAAACTTGCAGGTTCGACCCCCCCCCCCCGCCCGCCCCCACATCAGGCTCAGGCCATATCAACTCGTCCTCGTCCTCAGTCATCGACTTCGAGCGCACCTTCCGCAACGGGCGGCTCGATCTCGACCTCAACCTTCCTTCCCCCTTAGAAGTCGCCTAAACTACCGCCGCCCGCTGCGAAAAATCCCCCTTTTTCTCTTTCCGGTCCAAGTTTGTTCATTTTTTATGTAAGAAACAAAACCCCTCTTAGCTTGGTGCCCAGCTTTATTTTTATTATTTTATAATAAAAAATAATTATTTTTTAATAAAATTGACTAGACTATTTTTTGTTAAGGGTGGAGATGCATTGGCCTATTACTGTTCATTGGAGTTTATTACTGTTCACTGGAGTGGATAAAGTGGCTGGGTGTTGGCACAAAGTCCTTAGGGGTGGATTTGCTCTAATGTTTTCTCGAAGAGAAGAAACCATGATGCCGAGGACAAATTAAGCCACACAACGACTTCTACTGCATCAAAAGGAAATAAGATCGACTTGAAATCTCAGGCAAGCAAGGGCGACTCTTATGACAGATACAAGCTACAGAGCAACAGTGAAGACGAAACCACCAGTGTATGATAATTTGGACAACCCTGCTATCTCGAAAGATAAAGTGATCCACAATTGAATGTTCATTCCCACACCTTAATACTCTTATGATAATTGTGTACTCTTCCACATTGAAAACAAGTCATCAAGAGCATGCACAGGAAAAGTCCAGAACACAGACCAACAGTTGCAGAGTTATTAAGGCATCCACACTTACAACCATAAGTCTTTCAATCTCCACCATACATTCAATGCCGCAATGCATCATCTGTTTTTCTTCCTATATGTCCACAAACATTCTTGACAAATTCTATGGCAACAAGAGAATGACACTCTTGACAAATTCTAAGGCAACAAGAGAATGATACTCTTGACATATTCTATGGAATCAAAGAAAGAATGATACTTTCTTAACCATCAAGAAAGAATGACACTTTCTTGAAATCTTGTAATCTAACAAAATTACTAAATGAAACAATAGTTATCTCGTTGGATTTATCTCAACAGTAACACCAAGAATGTAACACCAAACCACCTCATACTTTCACACAGAGATCCATACCAAGAGTTGCATGCTCATATATACTTCCTTATTGCAAGGATGACAACGAATATGGATGCCAAAAGGCCCAATATAAATGAAACTTGTGCTGCAATTCAGTGAAGCAGAGAAATAGAAACACAAAAAGAATATCCAAATCTTTAACAAATATACTTCCAAAAGCAACACAAGCCACATCCAAGTAGTAGAACAGTAATTCTTAACCAGCACCAAAAAACTTGAGAAACCCATAAAAGATCCATTCTAATTGTTCAAGAATTCAGAGAAAATGAACTGAAAACATAACCTTCACAAAAAATCTTGAGTTGTGCATTTCGTCAAACATGTGGAGTGTACAAAGTTTTGAGCTTCCCTCCACATTAGAGAACAGAGCATGGATCAAAGCCACATAAAATATAATTCAGAGAGTTGATCTAAGAACACCACCAAGAATTCAAAAGCCTGATCTTGCACCAAGACACCAACATAATCACTCTTTGCATTTCGTCGATCAGATAGTGTGCAAGAATACGTTTGACTATTGCATCCAATTCACAACTTGATTTTGAAACCTTAGACGATATAGATGAAAACCCATAAACAATTCATCTCTAGAATCACATATTACTAGTGGAAGCAGTAAAGATCACACCACCAATAGTCATAATCTCAATCCGAAAAATGAAGAAGAAAGAAAGAAAAAACTAATGAAAAGCAAAAGGGAAAAGGAATTGACTAGGGGTGGGTTAGAAAAACCAAAAATCGAAAAAAACCGGACCAAAAACCGAACCGAGGCTGAATAAATCGAATCAAATCTATTGAACCGAACCAAACCGAATCTGGTTGGTTCGGTTTCGATTTCTGGGGTTCGGAAACCAAACAGAACCGAAGTTAATTTATTAATTAATAATCCTAATTCTAAAACGGCACCATTTTTACCCCAAAGTGTAACCTAAACCTCGGTCCCGAATCCTCATCTTTCGATCTCTCCCTTTTTCCCACTTCCCAGTTTGTGTAGCAACCCACAAACTCCACATCTCCCCCAAATTCGCCCACCCCACTCCACCCTCTTCAGCATCGTCATCTCCGCCCGCCCCTCCTCCATCCACATCCGCGTCTTCCACTTCCTCGACGGCACCGCCCCTTCCAGATCCTCTTCTTTTCTGGCCCTGAGCTTGATGCCTTCGGCTCTGACGTCTCTGAGAAGCTTCTCGAGTCATGCTGAAAGGCGCTCAGGTCGTCCGACTTTTGGTTCAAGGACGAGTAGGCCCGAGTCATTCCAGGTTACCATAGAATCCTCTGTAATTTGGTTAATTAGATTGAAATTTGGGGTTAAAATTGAACTGAAAATTGGTGCAAATAGCAGGTGAGGAACAAGGTGTTTATGCCCAAAGGTGAACCTATACTCTCATTTTTAATATTCTGTTCTACTTATACAATTTTAGAGGTTTGGTTTGAATGTTTGCTCTCTGTGGTTGCCAGAGTCATTCCAGATTACCATAGAATCCCTTGTAATTTAGTTAATTAGATTGAAATTTGGGGTTAAAATTGAAATGAAAATTGGTGCAAATAGCAGATGAGGAACAAGAGAAAGAGAAAGAATTGGTAAAGAGAAACAAGAGATATTGTATTGATTGATTATAGAAAATGCATACAACTGAACTTAAGGAAATGATAGTTATACAATCCCTTATATAATCATATATCCTAATTACAATAATACTCTTCTAACTATATCTGTTATATCAATTATTACAATTGCGAGTGCTAGATTTCTTTTTAAATCATTAAAAAAAAATTAATCATCGTCTGCCATATCATATTATTTATAAAATTTATCTAAAAAATTGGTCTGACTAGTATTTTTCAAAAGAAAAAGTTGATTGTTTGTTTCTTTTAAGTTATAGCTGTCAAAGTTTTAGTGGTCTCTTTCGCGGATCAATTCCAATTTCGGATACACGTTTATCTTTTGAAATATGTCCTCGTCATTCAGGGATTCGATTCCATTTAGAACGAACAATACTGGTTGGATTAGGCCCCCCATGCAGTGATAGCTCTCTCGCCTTTGTTGATTAACCAAAATTTGGGTCATTCTTTCAACACGTGTATTAAGAATTAGTAAAAGCACCCTTCGAATTTATAGCAAGAATGATAAATAAAGATCTTATTTCTGAGTATAAAGAGCAATTTTCACGATATGCATACATCATTATTATAATGTTTCGTGTCAATCATATCTTATCGAGGGTTTGGACCATTGCAGTTTTCTCCAGCGGAAATGATTCTCGGTGACAATGTTGCACACGGAATTGGATCCCCTCCTGAGCAATTGGTGGGGATCCTCATGATCACAACACGGACCGTTAGATTTTGATTCAATGGTTACAATTATTATAACTTTTAGAGAGATCCTTATTTGTAGCCGTTAGATCAAAATTCAACGGTCTGTGTTATTTGGTCATGAGGATCCCCACCATTTGCTCAGGAGGGGATCCAATTCCGTTGCACACATGCTATAAAAGTCTTTCTCAAATGTATGTCCAATGATACCCCTTTCTAGAGAAAAGATATATAAGATAATAAATAAATAAAAATTAGAGAACTAACCATTTAATATTACGGTATAGTGTTATTTTTCGTTACTTATAAGTGAAAGGTTTTATGTTCGATTATCGTCAAGGCGAATTTAAACCACATTATTACTAGTATATTATGAGACTTAACCCATTCGTTCATCATTTAATGTAGATAACATTGTAAAAAAAAATTAAAGGACTATAACAATGGACTACAATAAACCATTAAAAGAAGGGAACTTTAACGAATCACTTTAACGAAAAATCATATTTTTACACTAAAAAGTCAACATGTTACTATTCATTTTACATTTTATTTTACCCTTAACATTAAAACTCAAAGTCTTTAAACCATTTTCATTAGTTTTTCTTAAAAAAAAAAAAAAAAAAAAAAAAGGCATCCGTAAATCCAGGACACGTGTTATCATACGTCTTCGAATAAATTTACAACCTCAGGCCCTCAAAGACTTTCCATTAAAAAGCTAGGTCCGCAATGATAGCCATATTCTTCCTTTAATTACGTGATTAGCACTCCTCAACCTATCTTACCTACAATTGAATTGATGTGGCAACAGTCGAGTCTTAATACGGAATCACCGAGCCATATATTTAGGTACTGTTATATATTTCTATTCATCCGATCAAATAAATTAGAAAAAAAATTGGATAAATATGAACTATAATGTATAAGTGAAAAAAAATATTAATAGGTGCACGAATAACAATTATCCTAGTATGTCTTCTGGTGGATGGCATGCCAAAGTAAATATATGGAAAAAGGTGTGCATATATTGTAATGTAAACAAGCATGCATGTAAAGTTATCGTAAGTTCATAACATCATCTTTCAAAAGGTAGGGGAGTATAGTTCCTCTCACAGCTCATGATCATAACCAAAGTTGATATTTCAGATATATTTTTTGTTACTATTTTTTGCGTCGACAATCACTCAGCAGATCGAATGACGAAATACCCTCGCAATTCTCAACTACGGCTATTATTAAATTAAAGAATGATAAATTACGTTGCATATGTAATCAGAAATCGTTATTCGTACTTCAAGAATTTCATTGATCACTTCAAACAGTTTATTTTAAAAAATAAATATACATTTATAAGAAATACATAATGATTTTGGTGTGCAAATAATAACTCCTTAACATTATGAAACTTATTATTTTTTATTTATTTTATGGGTTAAGTATAAAAAGCAACCCAACATTTTCAGTGATTTTAACTTAGCCTTAACTTTTTTAAACATTTCAAATACCGAACGTTTTGAAAATTTGACATCTGATAAGTCATCTGAGACTTCTACCAACATTAGGTAATAAAGTTACTAGCATTGAATGATGAGGTGGACAAATACTAAAATTGGTTTCATGCACTGAACGTCTATATAGTTCTAACCCTCCAAATTGACCTATTTTAGCCCACTTAAACCATAAATTTGCTTAGTTAAATGACATTTGTTTATATCATATTTAGAGCATCCGTATTGAGATCTCGTACAAATATTCAGGGAACTTAAATGTAATTATGTAATAAAGGAATGGGCAAATATGTAATAAGTGAGGAGCCCTTATTCTATAAAATGACTCATCACCCTCATTATTTGGGGAGACCATTTCGTAAGCCTCCTCACCCCCTCAAGCTCTCTCACATACACATAGGCTCCCTCAAACTCTCTCCTTCTCTGGGGGGACTCCCCCTCACCCTTGTAATCCATACATACAATCAGAGAAATACAATTAGTGTAGACGTAGCCCAAACCTTGGGGTGAACCACGATACATCTTGTGTTATTTACATTTCTTGCAGATTCACGGTCGGATTTATGTTGTTCCAAGACCTCCGGTTTTGTGCATCAACATTTGGCGCCGTCTGTGGGAAACGATACTAAAAGTTGTGTCGATTCTCTTTCATTTTTTCACCTCCGCCGTGAATCTACAAAATCACAAAAAACCCCGAAACATAAAAGATCCAAATCTCAAACACTCCCCTTCTTTCTGCAAAATACACAGATTTAAACAAGTTCAGTTGGCATCAAAGTTGGGTCTTGTTGGGCAAGCGAATCCTCCTATTCTTTCAGCGAATGGAGCTCCTAAGTATGTCCACTCACCTTATCCGCCACGATCCCACCACAATCACTCTTGATCATACATCCAGCTTACATTCTTCTCCTCAAAAGTTATAGAGGAAACTAGGAGAGGAACAAATGGCATCGATGAACTCTAATGTGTTGGCATACAACTATGCAGTCTCCGGTGCCGGAAGATCTGAACTTGCAAAAGCAAAAACGACTTGCATGCTTTCAGTTGAATCAGCTGCTCAGACCAAAATAGTAGCAATCAGGGCCCAACAGCCTAGCACACAAAATAGTCAAGCAGCTGTTGGAAGAAGGTTGCGCTGTCCTCCCTGGCGGCCGTTGCTTTCACCGCTATTTCATCCAACTCCGCTGCCAATGCCGGTGTCATTAATGATTACCTCGAAAAAAAGCAAAGCCAACAAGCCTCTTCCTTTGAAGAACATCCCCGGAGACTACGGCCTCTCATTCGTGGGCCCCATCAGTGACCGCCTAGACTACTTCGACAACCAGGGCAGGGATGAGTTCTTCAAGTCCCGCGTCCAGAAATAACAGTCAACGGTGCTCTTCGACGTCTCGAAAGTTGAGAAGAAGGACATCTTCACCGGAACCTACTTGCCCTCAATGGAGCTCACCGACGACTACCGCATCCTCTCCTACCACGACCCATCAGACCCCAAGCACGACAAGCTGAAGCGGGTCATTTTCTACCTCCTCAAATCGAGTTGCGACTCTGTCCTACCCGAGTTTCACTCGTCATTCAATCTCCATTCTCTCCCCGGAGACTACGGCCTCCCATTCGTTGGCCCCATCAGCGACCCTGAAAGCTATTTAGAAGAACCCCTCATTTCAGGCTTGATTGATTCAAAAACCATCTGGGAATAGAGATTGAAGTCTGGGTCGGCTAGGAATAGGTGTGGAATGCAGGGGCAGTGAGAAAGAAGCTATGGATGATAGCTCGACGACAACAGCGTCTCGGTCCGGCGTCCCCATAGGTGTCGGTGTTCTTTTCCAATACCTATTTTAGTACAGGGTGCACAAGCATGACAGCTCAGAGACAGAAAGAGGTGCAGTAAACGGAGAAAGCAAAAACCATGCAGCAAAGAAAAAGAAAAAAGCAAAGCAAAAGTGAAAAGAAAAAAAAGGAAAAGAGAAAAGAAGAAAAGCAAAAGATTTTCCTATTATTATGATTCCTTCTGTCTGCCAGGTGAAGAGACAGAGAGAGGGCAGCAGAAAAACACAAGCAAAAGTAAGGAATAAACACCCCACCAGAATGATGTGGTTTACTTTCCCTATTTTTTTAACGATGTAATTTATTTTTCGTATCTTTCGGAGATATCTGTATAAACCCCTCAGAGGGTAATAAAAAAACGGCGAAACCCAAAATAAATGGGTTGGAATGTTGTTTTGAAGGCGAATACCCATAAGCCCAAAATAGCACCAACCAGGTGACCAAAACTACGTTCAGTACTACAAAAATTATTTAGCACGCTGCCGCTATTATCACCAACCAAGTGACCAAAAGTACGCCCAGTACTACAAAAAATTATTCGGCACCCCGCCGCTATTATCGCTAACCAGGTGATCAAAAGTACGTCCAGTACTTCAAATTATATATGAGCATTACTCATGTCAATCATATATAAACATTCATGAGCATCACTCATGTCAACATCCATGAGCATCACCCATGTTAACATCCATGAGCATCACTCATATCAATCAACATAAACATTCATGAGCATCACTCATGTCAATCAGCTTCAAAAGCTTTATTTACAAAAGCTCTAGCTTCAAAAGCTTCATTTACAAAACTCTAACTTCAAAAGCTTCATTTGCAGAGCTCCAGCTTCAAAGCTTCACTTGCAAAGCTTTACCTACAAAGCTTCAGTGCAGGGTATACAAATACCGTCTCTGAACAACCGCCACTTCGGCCCATACATGGATTTAATTTGAAGTCTCCAGCCCTTAGACTCTATTGACCGAAGACTTGGGGGACTACATTATGTACCATATATTGGGCCTCATGAAAAATATTTGGGGGACTCTAGCCCATCACTTATGTATTGAGGAGCGAGCCCTTATTCTATAAAAGAGACTCCCTTACCATCATTAGAGAGCATCAACTCTAGCCCATTATTCATGTATTAAGGAGCGAGCCCTTATTCTATAAAAGGGACTCCCTCACCTTCAACGCCACAAGCCGAGCCAACCAAGGCAACATAAGCCACAAGTCGAGTAGCCTCGCAGCATGTGCTACTTCTAGTTGAGCATCATTTCAGATTGAGCACCGCCTCATATCGAGCATCAGTTCAAGACAACATCTAGTTACTTCGGCCCACACATGGACTGAATTTCAAGTTTTCAGCCAAAAGACTCTCTTGACTGAAGACTTGGGAGACTACTGTTTATACCATATTTAGGGCATTCGTATTTAGATCTCGTACAAATATTCATGGGACTTAAATGTAATTATGTAATAAAAGAAGGAGCAAATATGTAATAAGTGAGGAGCCCTTATTCTATAAAAGGACTCCTCACCTTCACTATTAGGGAAGACCATTTCTTAAGCCTCCTCACCCCCTCAAGCTCTCTCATATACATAGAGGCTCCCTCAAACTATCTCCTTCTCTGGGGGACTCCCCTCACCCTTGTAATCCATACATACAATCAGAGAAATACAATCAGTGTGAACGTAGCCCAAACCTTGGGGTGAACCACGATACATCTTGTGTTATTTACATTTCTTGCAGATTCACGGTCAGATTTACGTTGTTCAAAGACCTCCGATTTTGTGCATCAACAACATCAATTTGGATATTCAAGTTTTCATATATGACTTGGGAGTTAAAACACGCTTGATATTTAACTATATGATCATGGAACACTAGTGAACCTACTAGATGTTCATTTTTCAAAACTTAGGTACTTTGTTAGAATGTTGTAAAAAGTTAGGACCAATTTCAATTCACTTCTAAAGGTCGAGTAATTATGTCACATCCTGACCTAAGTCCCCACCACATCCCGGGCTCGACTCCACCGTAGCACGATATTGTCTGCTTTGGGTCCCGACCACGCCTTCACGGTTTTGTTTCTAGGAACTTACATGAGAACTTCCTAGTGGGTCACCCATCCTGGGATTGCTCTCGCGTGAACTCGCTTAACTTCGAAGTTCCAATGGAACCCGAAACCAGTGAGTTCCCAAAAGGCCTCGTGCTAAGTAGAAATAGGAATATACATATAAAGCTTACAGGATCCACTCATGTGGGATGTTACAAATTATCCAGACTTTAACCCTGATTTTATTTATTATTAATTTATGGTGATAACACAATAATATTTGAAATATCATTTCCTCAACAAAAAAAAAAAAAAAAAAACCGATGGTATCCACACATTCCTTTTTACTCTCCACACCTCTCAATTCCGATCATCAAATCCAATGAACTGAAGAAAATCAAATAACAAAAATTAACTAGAAATATAAAAATAAAAATAGAAGGGTGAATCGCATTACTCAAAACATAAACAAAAAATATATATATAACTAACCAAGCAATTGTAAATTGCCCCTTTTTTTAGGATCTACCTAAGGGTTTATTTACACTTTCTTAGTATCCCATTAATTGAAACAGCACACATTCTATGATTATATTGAATTAATATTGGAGTAATGAAATAGCCAAGAATGACCAAGATATATGAAAATTGACTTGCTTTCTTTGTGGGAGTCTTATTTTTATATACTGGGAAAAGGAGACTTTAAAGATGAGTTCTTGACTGTTTAAGTATAAGATAAATAACTTGCTTCTACTGTTGATAAATGGTAAACTCGCGGGAATAATTGATACTTTTACTGGAAAACATGCCGACTGATTTTGATTCTTTGCTTTTACTGTACGAATAACGTCTGAAGCATATGCTTCACATGTGGTGCCTGACTGGTGTGAAATCACGTGACTTCAACTCCAAAGGTATAAAGGGGCAAAGAAAATATACGTTAATTTAAGAAAACGTTCTATATTTACTATAAAATAAAATGTAAAATGTAAAATGCATGCTCGCTACAGCGAGCTGGGTTTTGTGAGGTCGACCACAATCACGCTAATGTTATCTCTGCTTCCCCGAGCCATAGCTAGGTCAACCAAGACTGCCGCTGCCTCAGATGTGCGACTTCCTACATTTAGGAGAACACGATGTTCGTCGTGAATGGATATTCTCTTCATTCGGCCACGAAGACACTTTTTAACAACCTGACATGCTACGTCGTTTGATATAACATCCCACAGCCCGTCACTGGCAAGGATGAGGAATTCATCCTGGTCGGTTCGCCTGGTCACCGTCACCTCTGGTCTTGATATCACATATGGCCTCAGGTAATGGTCACCTGCACCCCCAATCAATTTGAAACACCACCAAGTCTGAGAAATGTCCGAGCAATATTTCCAAATTAATCCAAAAGGGGATCCATTTGAAAATTAAATCAATCAACCTAATGGAAGTGAATGAGTTAGCGTAAAACCGAATGCAGTAACGTTCTAAGATTCATACAGCCGACCACTTCAGTGAGATAAAGTTTTGTTGTTATAACCTAATGCAGGTGAATGTTACAACTGTTAATAAAGCTAAATTTGGTTGTTCACTTGAATTAGGCTCCTCGATTTGCTTTGTCCAATTGCGAGGATTTAATTTGGCCCGAGATGCTTAGTGATTTTATTTATAATGCCGTTACTAAGAGATTTAGAGTTTATATCCCGCCGATTGTATAATGTACATACCTATTGATCTGGAAGTGGCAAGCACCCCAAGTACACGGCTTCCGTTCCAGTTGATGACTCTCCCACCTGCAGCTTCAATTCTCTTCAACTCATCCACTCTGTCCGGCTTATATATGCACGTAGAAATTAAAAACCATTGCATCAACAAAATAATAAATGTACTCAGCTAGCGGAATTAAATTTTAAAGCAGTGATGACTGTGTTTAGTTGAACTTAATAATAAAGTACATAGGGCTCTACTGGAGAAATTTTTCAGTATTAGGTAAGTTCTAAAACATAAATACATGTAATAAAATTAAGGGAAAATTAGGTTCACATCCTTCTTTTTGTTACTCCATTGATTAAAATCCTATTCATTTTCAATTTTTGATCAAGGTCCTTGGGTATTAATAACATCATTAATTATTTGAATAATAAAATATTTTTATTTTTAAATATATTCCTTTTGTGTTAAAAATATTACAATTAGTATATTTATATTTATGGCTAAATTTTTTATCATATATTTTTATTTTTAGTTTGTACCAATTTTTAATTTGCAAATATTTTTTAATTGTACCAATTTTCTTTTCATTTTTAATTTGTACCCATATATTAGTTTCTTTTTGTGCCCATATTTTTTAAAGTTTTATTTGTGTTTGTACCCATGTGTATACCATCACGTGACATTGTATATTTAATCAATGATAGAAAAATTACATATGGTATATTTATGTTTTTTGCCTAAACTTTGTATCATATATTTATATTTTTAGTTTGTACCCACTTTTAATT